TGCACGGAAAAAAAGAATTTTCCCAGGGTAACGGCTTAGTACCCGAAGAAGGTCAGAACCTAATGTTTCCAAAATTTGAATTTAATTAAAATCGATGCGATACGTTTATCGCTATCTTCGATGGCCCGAACACACCCACAACGCATATAAAACGTACCATCCCGGCGGTCAGGCGAAAAGGCCACATAATTATCCGCGCGGACTAATACCAGGAAGTCGTCGCTGGACCACCAACATTACCCCACCTATAAAGGCTAAAAAAAAAAAAAAAGATATGTACACATATATTACGATTTCAGGGATATCGCGCTCCCGGTCACGTTTCCGGCGATTTACTGCGCACTTACTTAGACTCTGGTCAGATTTAACCCTACCTAGACCGGGATTTTTTTTACATGGGTGGACCGGGGGGGGCTCTTTTGACCCCCCCTAAGAACTCGCGAACGGTATGTCGTATGGCCACCAAATTTTTTAGAGAATGGTGTGCTAGTAAAGATGTATCATATCTACAATTTTTATGTCGTTATGATGTAATATGACGTCATAATGACATCATTAATGTGATTTTATTGGCCAAAACCGTCTAAATAGGTTTTTCCCTGAGAACTAAATGGTATTCAACATAACTTTACCAAAAGTGTTTATGACAAAATACTATGGTGTACTAAGTCTTATGTTGCCCATAGCAACAACGGTGACGTCATAAAATCAAGTCATGCATATTTAAGATATCCGCCATCTTGGATCATTAATCTTTAATTTTCAAAAATAGTTTTTTTCATGATAAAGCCTAAAATACAACGTAAACATACTAAAGACCTTCATTTAAACCTTTTTTTGGCAAAAGAAATGGAAGTATTGATAAAATTTTAATGAAAATAACCTGTATATACCTGTTCTAATGATATGGTCCGCCATCTTGAATTTTGGCCAATGACGTCATCAAATTAGCATAAATTATGCATATTTAATAATGAAATTTACATAAAATTATATGGGATGTTATTAATATTAGAAACCATGAGTAACTTGACATAAAACCCATAAAATTCTATTGTTGAAACAAAAAGTACTAAATTTAGCAAAAAATGCCTGTCAGAAACTCGTTGCCATGGCAACACAAAAAAATATTATCTTATTCCAATGATAGAGAATTGATGCCAACAATATTCTAGGAAAAGTCACCAAGTTTAACCGTTCTACGGCTAGCCGTTCAGACGCTAGGTGACATCAAAAGTTGCCGCGGGCACTTTTAGCCCCCCCCCCCGGTCTAGGTAGGGTTAAACTCCGACCCGGAACCAAAAGTCCCATCATTGACCAATAAGGAGTCACAGAATTTTCACAGTAATTATGCAAATTAGGTAACCATTTGCATAATTGGTATCT